TTTTCTGAAGAAGGGTCTAGGCCCGAAACGTCAGCCTTCCTGCTCCTCTGATGCTGCTTGGCCTGCTGTGTTCATCCAGCTCTACACCTTGTTATTTCAAATTCATAATTGCCATTGATTTCAATGTGGACACAGCCATGATCAATTAACCTTTCACTACTTCAGAGAGCATACAGGCAGAGTGGATTAAAGGCTCTCATAATTTTGGTTTGGTTTAAATAGTGGCATTCAGTTTTGTGGACCATTCAAGGGCTTTTATGATGTAGAAGTGTTGTTACAAAAGTGCAAGTTTCTAGGAAGTTCTGAGTAGTCAAGGTGCATTTATTTCCAATAGGTGGTTCAACAGGGATTTAAATATACATACACATCTCACTTTTGTGTTTAGTGCAATTCATACATAGTTCCTAATGAATTACGAATTATTAGGAATAAAAATACAAACTATTGAAAATTGCAGAACCAATCTATGAGGATCTGATATGAACAAAAGTAAGCTAAAATTTTGGGCTAACATTTTTTACGTACTGATGGGTGATTTACCCATGCACCTGAAAAATGATGCCTCCCTGGACCTTGAGGTTTTATATTTGCTGGTCTGACTCAATAGACTTCAATCATGGCAAACTGTTTGCCACTCCTGAGTCATGATTAAATTCTGCTTCAAATCCTGTACCTTCAAGTTGATGGTCCAGAATCTGTTTTGACTCCCTTTGAGTTCCCTGAGGAATGTTGTCTTTACCTTTTGCCCTGTATTTCTTACCTCTTGAATGTTAGTTACCCTTGTTGTATGATGTAACCAACAGTGAACAGTTTTGAATCCCTTATCTAAGGAAAGATATATATTGGCAATGAAGGCAGTACAGAGAAGGTTCACTAGGGTGATCCTAGGTATGGAGGGCTTTTCTTATGAGGAGAAGTTGAATAGGTTGAACCTGTACTTAATGGAATTTAGAAGAATGAGAGGTGACCTTATTGAAACATACAAGATTATTTGGGACATTTACAAAAGAGACGCAAAAGATTGTGGTCTCTTGTGGGAGAGTCTAGACCAGAGGATATAATCTCAGATTAAGGACTGGCTATTTAAATCAGAGATGAGGAGGAATTTCTTCTCTCTTTAGTTAATTGTGGAATTATTTACTGCCTAGAGCTATGGAGGCTGTTTGATCAATATTTTCAAGGGAGAGATAGACAGATTTTTAATCAGCAAGGGGATCGATTGTTATGAAGAAAAGACAGGAAATTGGAATTGTGAATTATAGATCAGCTATGATCTCATTGAATAGCAGAGCGGTCTCAACGGGCTGAATGGCTTCCTACTTATGGTCCTATGCTTTATATTTCTATATAAATTTTCCTTTTGCAGGACCTTTTCTTTGTTTATGAGGTGATGAGGGGCTGTTGACTGACAATATTTTCTAAATTTACTCAGCTGGCTACCACTCACAGCACACAGCTCCACTTACTGGGCATTCATTGCATTTATAATTCTATTTGGACCCTCATCTTAGAGAACACAGCATGATCAATGATGTTGATTCCCACTCTGTTGGCACTTTGAGAAAGGTGAATCTCATCTGACCATGTCACTAGAAGCCCTGGTGTTTCCTGGCAGTACTGTCCAGTTTAGAACCTGATTTCTGCTTGCATTGTGAATTAGATTTTGTGTTCTGAAGTTTAGTCTTCCATAGACTGTAGGAAGCCTGATACTTTCCCACTCCTGACTACTACCCAGTGCCAAATCAACTCATCCATTAAAGCTCTGGACTAGCAACATTCTTCTAGATGATATGAATCCATTTAAGAGGTTTCTATTGATCTTCCAAAATGCTGAGGATGTTTATTAAATCTCACCCATTATATCACTCAATGTTTGTACATATGTACCCTTGTTTTTTTTAAGGGAAAGTGATGGCCAAGTGGTATTTTCGCTAGACTATTAATCCAGAAACTCAACTAACATTCTGGGGACCTGGGTTTGAATCCTGCCACGGCTGATGGTGGAATTTAATTTCAATAAATATCTGGAATTAGGAGTCTACTGGTAACCATGAAACCATTGTCAGGAAAAACCCATCTGGTTCACTTATGTCCTTTAGAGAAGGAAACTGCCATCCTGACCTGGTCTGGCCGACATGTGATTCCAGCCCCACAGCAATGTGATTGACACTTAGCTGCCTTCTGGGAAATAAATGTTGGTCTGGCCAATAATGCCCACATCCTGTGATTGAATAAAAAAAATCTGCCTAATAAGACCGTCTTTCCTTGCACTTGGTTTATTTTTTCCTTTACATCAGCACACCCTTCTTGATAGGCATATAAACAAATTTTGGCAAGTATACACTTGTGAAAGGGTCCCTAAATGACTCGTGGTTCAGTTGAGCTTTAGAATGTAGATGAACAAGTGACAATTTTTAATATGTGCTTTTATTGGTTCAGGAGGTTGTTGGTGTTTACTTCATGAATTAGTTTTCACATCGCTGTTACTTTGAAATCTCCATTGAAATAACTTCTATTTACTAAATAAGATCAAATATAAAATGCTAGAAATAGCTGGATATTAATTGCCAAGAAAAAGTAAAGCCATTAATATTTCCAGTGTAAACGCTTCATTGAACAAGTGATGTTTTCATTTTAAGTTTCCAACATTTACAATTATTTTCTGTTTCATAACACTTTTGTAGACTAATTGAGATGTTTGAATTCAAAGACTGGTATCAAATAGAAAATCAATTTTGATTCTCTTTATCAAGATAAACTTTGAGAGCCTGAGCTGAGGGTCACACTGTAAATGGTTTTATTGGGTTTGCACCCCCTTCCTGCTGACTCCATCAGAGATAGTGGGGTGTTGAACAAAAGCATATCTTATTTGCATATGATAATTGGAAACAAGCTGGTATTGGCCCATGCACTCAGACCTCTCCAGCACCTGATCCTGATCTTGTCTGTCTCCCCTCGCTGTGTTCGAGCTACTCAATCTGATTCCTTTTCAAAATCTTGTTACATCTTTGAACGTTCCCAGCAGTCTCCCACCACAGAGAAATAATGATGAATTTCAGCCTTTTGGCCTTTCTGCCTGAGCTGATACAAGGCAAACTGGTAGAACAGTGAACTAACTACCAACAATTTTCCCTCGTCAGCTCATTTCAGGAATTATTGATGGCTCTTTCCATTAGAACCCTGGAGGTTCAGAAAAATCTATCAAGTAAATTAAATTTAAAGGGATGTGTGCAATAACAAGGGAGAGATAATATAAAACCAAGGATGCAACTCTAAAAGATGTGCTGGAGCACAGAGACCTGGCTATTTATGTGCATAAGCCTTCAAAGGTAGCCAGAAAGGTAGAGGAAGTAATTAATAAAACATACAGTATCCTAGCTTTTATTAGTAGTGACACAGAATACAATAGCAAGGAGGTTTTATTGAATGTATATAAAGTTAGAGGACAGTTTTGGGAACCACACTTTGGGAAGGATGTGAATGCATTGGAGTAAGTGCAGCAGAAGTTTACAAGAACGGCAACAGGATGAAAAACTTCAGTTATGAGGATAGATTGAAGAGGTTAGCTCTTGTACTTTTTGGGAAGGAGAAGACCAAGAGGATAGTTGATTGAAGTTTTCAAAATCATACGAATCCTAGACAGAGTAGATAGGTAGAAACTGTACCTGCTTGTGAATGGCTCAAGAATGAGAGGACACAGATTTAAAGTGATTAACAAAGAAGTAAATGTGATGTGAGAAGAACCTTTTACATACGGTGAAGGATTTGGATCTGGGATGTGCTGCCTGGGAGTGTGGGGTGTTGGGTCCAATCAAAGTATTCAGGATGGCTTTAGATGCTTACTTAAATATTGCTGGGGAAGCATGAAGTTATGATGCTTATTCAGAGAACTGGTGCAATCATGATGGGTTAAATGGTTTTCTTCTGCACCATGACAGTTTGTGATAAATAACTACTTATGGAGAGAAGGGAAAAAAAAAATTGGCTTTTCTGAAGCTTCAGCATTCATTTTAATTGTCAGCCTGGGGAGGATGTTGCAGTTGGGGGTGTGGAATGGAGCATGGCAGGGTGGGTAAGAGCAGGAGAAACAAACTGAAAGGAAGCACAATTGGAGGACATGTAACAGCTTTGATGGGCAACTGACTGAATGGTACCTTTGCTGCATTCCCATTGTTTGATAATTGAGAGAGGAGAATAGTGCATTGTCCCTTCCAGCATGTGGCATCCAACATTGAACGATGTGGTATGCAGTCCGGCAATTTATTCTGGTCCACATTTTGTGGTCTATGCTGTCAAGCCCTCATGACTGTACAGCTTTCTCATTGCATTGGCACACCTCAGTAAAACCAGATTTTTCATCCAATTGAAACCCTAGGCATAATTACATCTTGAGAGCATAATGCCTCAAATCACTGTAAAGCAAGCTGTCCATCACTCTGCATATGCTTCCTTGACATCAGGAGCATCATCACAATCTATAGAAAGACCTCATTTGATACGCTCAAGCAGCTGATGCAATGTTTGCCGAGTTACACAATTGATCACATCAGTACAATGTGCCTCAGGTGGATCAAGTCTTGCTTGTACTATTTCTCTACAATTCCTCTGAATCCTCAGGCTCTGTGGCAAGGAGTATTTCCCAAAAGGAACACCAAGGCTCCAGTGGAATTTATATTGAGAGGCAAGTTTTCTTCAATGGTTGGTCATGAAAAAATAAATAAGTTAAAGCAATGCAAAAATGAATTCCAAATTGGCCCTTAAGCTAACGCATCACACCAAATAGATCTAAAGCTAAATAATAGTCAAAATGTAGCATTGTTTATTGCAGTTGAACACAGTTGTATGAAATGTGTTGGGAAGTGAATTTCTAAGTACTCCCACTGAAATGTACCTTTAGCAATAGCATTGCATTTCAGAAACAAGCTTCAAACAATGTGGGATGGGAGGCACTGCTGTGTTTGCTGCGGTTTCAGACCTTTAATAAGGTTAGTGTGATATTATTGAGCAGTGCAGCCTGGTCAGAAAGCAACCATTCCCAGGGCACTTTGAGACTTATTAGGTGGAATTCAATGATCACCTCCCGAGTTGGGTTTGATGCTGCACCGGGTGGGGAACAGGGACTCTACCACCTTCGGATTTCTGTGCCAATTAGGTAGGACAGCTTGTGGGCAGACCTCCTACCCTTCTGCCAATAGAGGCTCCTGATCAGGTAATTAATGGTGGTTACTCACTGGCTGGGAATCCCAAAAAGCAAATCCTCTCAAGGTTGCTTGCTAGCTTCCAGTTTTTGGAGGGTGGGCGTGGGGGCATTTGTTATTGTTAGGCACTTCCTGACCGAGTGTAAAGGTGCCCCCGAAAGTCACTTCCCTTGATGCCAACCCCCCTTCTCCACTCCCTTGCTAGCCATACTATCCTCCATGATCCCCACATTGTCATCACTCGTGTGGGTCTGGGTTTCTCAGTGATCCCAAGCATCTGGCTGATACATTATTAGCAGTGTTGCCTGGTGGGCACTGTTGAGCAATGTACACTGAGTAGCTGGCAGCTCTTGGGGTGGGATTTCTGATCCCAGGGTCTTTGATCCTGAGGAATGCCTGCTACTCCCCAGTTAAGTGCCTGGTTGGTGGGGCATTCCGGAAAGGAGATGACAGTGGTGGCAGATTCTCACCAGCTTTTCAGCCAGTGGGTGAGACCCTGGTCACCTCCATTAAATACTAGCTTTCACTCTACCTGAATTAAAAGGACTCTGTAGATACACATTTGAAATAAAACTTGTTAAGGCCCAAATTCTTTCCATTTGTTTCTTTCCAGTTGGTATGTTATAATAGGGCAATTTAAACACTTTGCTGTGTATTTACAAATAATAAACAATTCATATATCTACTATATATAAATTCATATTTATTTTGAAAATATTCATCCCAACAAGCCACTTTAGCACTTAATTATTTAAATAGTTTCGGTATTCCAGTCAGTGTCAACACTAACAAATGATAACTTCACAATCTGTCCTATTGATATTTTTTGATGATCTGTTATAGGGAAGTGTACAACAACTGAGTGGATAATAATTGATCATTAACTGCATTCTTTCATGTAGAGTATGATCATGGCTGTTTTTGACAATGCAAAGACTACAGAGGAGCAAGTGAAGTATTGGAAACACTGGCATTCCCGACAGCATACAGTTAAGCAACGAGTCATTGATTTTGGTAAGAAATTGGTGCCATCATGCCCTAAGCAGACTTGATCATTTTATTTTTAGTTCCTTTTTTTTTCTCAGGTTTAGTTTGGGCTGAGCACTGATACTGATCTATATGGTACATAAAATTTAATATCAGTTGTCATTAATTTTTATTGATGTGTTCAAAACTCATTTCATATGTCATCCTTTCAACACCCTTACAACAAGGATTCCATTATGTTAGTTCTTGAGTTGATCAATTGGTGAAGTGAAATGCATGGGAAAATTATTCAAAATACTTAATCATGTAAAACAGTCATGGCTCTTAGATTTAAAGGGAACACTATAATTGGTGATTATGTCTTTGAAGCATGTATCACACAAGGAATACAATGATACCTCAGCTAAATAAGTGCCAGGAGTATTAGAGATGTCAGTGCTGTTGAGAAAAAAGTGCTCCAGGGTGACAATGCTCAACCTTACAAAGTCAAATGAGCTAAATAGTCAGAAAAATCTCTTAACATGAATTGGGCTTCATATCAAAAGCACAACAAGTTGTGATAAGCGGGCAAATTTACAAGGATGGGGCCACGTAAAGGTTAGATCAAGAAAGACCAAGCTCACGTGGAACATAATTATCAATACAACCGAATGGACCGTTTCTCTGTTGAAAATGCAAAGTCATACAATTCAATGATGAAGTTGACTAACAGGGGAATCAAGGAATGATGGGGTCGGCCAGAATGTGGAGTTGAGTCCACAATCAAAACAGCTGTGATCTAATTAAATATTGAAGCAAGCTTGAGGGACAGAGTGGCTTATTCCTGCTCCTAACCCATGTGTTTGTAAGGAGATTAATGACTGTGCTGTGTGATATGGTTTGCTTGTTCTGTTCGAATGTTAGAGACAAACCTTGCACCACTGACTGTAGGAAGAACAAAGTCATTTTCTTAGACATTTTCATTTCTGAGATGACCAACCAAGAGATTGATATAGGGGATCTGCTGAAATGCCCGCACAAATAGCTCGAAAAAAAAATTTATAAGTAACCTCAATCACTTGTAGGCTTATCAAGACCAAAAGATCCTTCACCTGATCAATATAGCTATCAGAGGACAGCTTTCCTGAAGGGTTAGAAGGTGCAAGAATCCCTGTGTTCTTCAACAATTAAAGGAAGGAATTTATATCAAACTAAGGAAGGTTACAGCACAGTGGAAGTTCATTCAGCTCATCACATCTCTGGAAGCCTTTTCTAGATTAAATTAAAATGAGTTTCACTGTGTAGGTTACAAGCATCCAGCATAATTTTAAGTTTTATACTATTGGAGTAAAAACCGTATCTTGTAAATATATTGTTATGGAGAGTTGGGGCTGGATCCACCTGCATCTCATTCGCATTTACCTTCCCTTCTATCTCCCACAATGTCTGCCACTGATTGCTCCTCCCCTGTCTGCCCCCATATAAATAATAGCAGGAGGGAGGGCCCAGGATTCCAATGGATTATCTAACGATCCATGCATGTTTCTGCTACTTATCGAGGCTGCCCCACAGTAGGTGGAAATAGGCCCAGGGTTAGATCTTCTGGGTTATTCTACCTCTTGTCCTGCCTGTGGTCTCCTCTGATGTAGCATTGGCAGTCCCACTGCCCTACTGCCAGGATCTAGTAACCGTGGGATAGTCAGATCACCCTCGGTGGTACAATTCCATCAGAAACATGGTGTCCATCAGGAATCTGGGCCAGGATGATGTTGGTGTATGGGAAGTACCACCTCAGCAAAATGAAATCTCTGGGAGAAGAATGCTGACATTGGTCTCAAAGGCTTGTTTTGTTCACAGTTACTTACATGACATGGCTGATTTTCTGTCCATTTGCTTTTATAGCAGATTACAAAGAAAGCAACAACACAATCAGCTGTGTGGAAGAAGTGGCATTTAATGCCCTGTCTTTTATCTGGGATTCTAACAGGGAAGCAAAGGTAAAACAGAGTGATGCATGGGATATCATAGCTAACCCTAGTCACCAATGACATTCACAAAATGATAATAGTAATTTGATTGAACAGAAGCAAGGAGACTGTGTCTATAATAAATCATTGCCATTAACAAGATATTGCCGAAATCTTACAGTCTACCATCCATATCTACCACACTGTCTGACTCATGTAAATTCCACTTCATTTCTACTCTTCTTTGCCTCAATGTTGCTTTCATAAAAACAGGAATAAATCAGCATAATAATTATATGAGGTGAACAAAGTCTTTATCATGAAAGAAAGCAGAAACTGAGTCGATCATGACTGTTGTTAAAAGAAATCTTTTTAGCTAAAACAGTTCAGAAGTCTGCCCCAGAAATTAGATCAACCAAATTGCTTAAAATGGCTTCTTAAAAATATTTTGCCCATGATAGATATTCCTCACAAATATAGATACCCAAGCCTCAAAAATGTAAGTATTGCATACTTAGAGAATGAAACATGCTTCCAAAATTATCTTTTTGTGTTTGTTATCTTCAATATTGTCTTTACATAAGATGTAAGCTTTCTCCACAGTCTGCTCGTGGTTTAAATGTCTTCCTTAAAGCTGTTACCCTGCTAATTGAAAAGTGTTATTAACTACACCTTTGCCTGCAGGTTGGCACAGTTTGAGTTTGTGAACTCAGAATTGCTCTGTCTGTACCAACATGATTTGCTGTCGACAGTTTGAAGCCTCTTGTTTTATGTTAGAACATGATCTTGGAGTTATGGTATTTCAGGGATTGTTTGCAGCATGTTGTACTGTTGTCTGACACACCCGCCCTCTCAAATCCATCTCCTTGCACTGTCAAGTGTCTTTTCACCCCTTTTCACAACGAAACCCACACACTGCTTTCCCCTCCCCCCAACAACGTCAATGCTTTCAGTCCAGGTGTCACAGCAATACTCAAACATCAAAATGGGGTAACGATGGAAAAAAGAAGTTTTGGGAAGCAGTGATGTAGGTATTGTTGACAAGGTCAACATTTATTGCCTATGTAGGAGCAAATTACTGCAGCTGCTGGAATCTGTACTGAAAACAACAAATGCTGGAGATCACAATGGTTCAGGCAGCATCCATGGAGAGAGAACAAGATAATGTTTTGAGTCTAGATGATTTTTAATCACAGCCTATCAGGGTGGCATGGTGGCTCAGTGGTTAGCACTGCCACCTCACAGCGCCAGGAACCCAGGTTCAATTCTAGCCTTGGGTGGAGTTTGCACATCCTCTCCATGTCTGTGTGGGTTTCCTTGGGGTGCTCTGGTTTCTTCCCACAATCTGAAAATGTGTAGGTTAGGTAGATTGACCATGGGAAATGTAGGGTTACTGGTATAGGGTAGAGGAGTGTGTCTGGGTGGGATGCTCTTCAAGCAGTCAGTGTAGACTTGTTGGGCCAAATGGCCTCATTCCACACTTTAGGGATTCTAAATACATCACCCTCATTTCTCTCTCTCCTATTCTTAGTTCTTCTGATATAACTGAATGCCTTGCAAATCCAGGCCAGAGGCTACTTAAGATACATCCATTGCCTCTCACTAATTAGCCGTGGCCTGGATGCTGCTGAGATCCTATAGTAGGCTTTAAAACTTTGTGAATAGAGCTGAACACTCTAAATTGTCAGCAAACGACCGCACTATTAACTTAAGAAGGAACCAGCTAAAAATCTACAATTCTGTTCCACAGAACTCCAACAGCAATAATCTTGGGATGGTGTTATTGTGTTTGACTTTGAACAGCCACAAATATCTTCATGTTTGGCAGATAAAGCTCCAAATATTGAAGACTTTTCTTACTGACCACATTAACTTCATTTTTGTAAAGGCAACTTGTTACCATACATAGTAAAATGTGTTAATGGCAAGGTCAACTACTCTAAACTTGCCCGTACCCTTCAGCTCCTGCAACCTGGCTGTAATGAGTTAAGAATCTGTATATATCTCACAGAATCTTAGCTAGATATGGATGAGCATGTTACTAGTGCGTTGCTGGGATTTGATGGTACTGCTGATTACTTCTTTCATTATTGTGTGGATGTTGAGAAGTAACAGAGAGAGCAGTAATTATGAGTTAACACATTGTGGAGCTGGAGGAACACAGCAGGCCAGGCAGCAACAGAGGGGCAGGAAATTTGACGTTTTGGGTTGGGTCCCTTCTTCAGACCCTCCTGTCTGGCCTGCTGTGTTCCTCCAGCTCCACACTGTGTCACCTCTGTCTCCAGCATCTGCAGTTGTTACTATCTCTGGATGAGTAATTATGAGTTCGATTTGTTCGGAATTTTGTGAATACAACTGGGCAATTTGTCACATCAATTTCTATGCTAGACTTGTAATTGCACTGAAATAACTTGGTCGAAAGATTGACTATTTCATTCCTTTGATTTTTGAAAAGATTTAAGGCATAAACTTGGGGACCCAGAGCATTTCTTGTACTTAGAGCACTAAGTTGTTCCTTACTGTGATATGGACGACAATGAATTGAATGGTTGGCATCTATGACTGTGAACATTTAGGAAGACAGTGTCTATATGACACTTTTAGATGAGGCAATTATGTATACTTCAGCCTAGTCTCCTGAGCTCACCTGTTATTTCCAATATGATTGTGAGTGACAATGCTCATGGTACTACCTCTTCTATTTAGCAGCTTTATTGTTCTCTATCATTGACGATATAATGGGGCTCAATTCAGATCTTTCTTCTTCATCTTATTAGTACTATTATTATCAGTATTAGTTGAGGGATTGTTCAGCTATATCCATAAACTAATGCATCGGGTCTAGTTTCATTTTGTTGGTGCCTTATATTATGATGTTGTTCCTGGTGCACTCTGATTAAAGCAGAATTCACCACCTACTTTGATAGAGAAGTAGTATTCAGGAATATCCGAAATTGTAAATTGTGATGGTAGATACTTTGACACTATTGCTGTGGCCCAAGCCTCAGTGATGAAATGGTTATTGGCTTGCGAGAAATGTTCTTAATCCATCATGATTGACAATACCATCAGTGTGAAAACAATATATTTTTTGACATGGACAGTATGGTGTCATTCTTGTCAATGTCATGTAGACACATTGAAATAGGGTGGCAAAAATATTTGACTTTCCACTGAAAGTATGCTGAGTGATGACTGTTGCCTCACTCCCTCTTAACCTTTTTCACTTTCTGAGAGAACAGATAGCATTGATTCTTTTGTTTTCTGCATCTAGTCTAACATACTAAAAATATGTATCTTCTAGAAATGTTCAGACTGTCATTGCTACCACCACAACATTTTGCTTTCTATTAGTGAATAGTAACTATACTTGGGATCAATGATAAATTACTGACTTACGCATGGGTTACTTTGGAAAATAAATTAGCTTCTTTTTCAGTCAATTGGCCTATGTTCAACATTGAAAATTAAAACTAATAGTCATTGTGGATTGTGACAGCTCCCTTCTTCCTGACAGTCTTGCCTATTATCAGAAGTACGATGTCTTTGCCAGTTTTGACTGCAAAACAACCTTGAGCTTATGTTTGTTGCCACACTCATTCTATTACAAGAATGTGGAGGAAGTAACAAGATTTTTTTTATCAACTCATAATCCTCCTGGTGAAAAAGAGCTCTTGCCTCGCAGTCAAGTTTTACGTAAAGTCAGGAAACTATCAGAAGTGATGTTATTGTCAAAAGGAATAAAATTGATCACAAGCTAATTTAAACATGAACATGTATTAAGAGATATGCATTAAAATAAACTCATTTTAATGCAAAAATAACACATTCCACTTGTATAAGTCTTTGTAGACCTTTGTTCAAATGCAATAATTTGGATAACTTCCATCATTTAACATCTAGGTATGTACCACTATTGCCTAGTAATTACCTTTATGGTAGAATAGCCCAAGGGTGTAACAACAGAATCCTTTAGTGATCTGAAGCAGATGCCATGTCATTCACATATGCACCTTCACAAGGACAATAACGGTTGGGCAATAACACTGACTTAGCCAGTGACACCCACATCCCATGGAGGAATGAGTTTTAAAAGACCTCAAACAAAACAACATTACTGAGATTAAGCCTGTTCTAAATTATTATGCTGCTTGATTTCATAGAGAGCAAATAAATGTCATGAACTAATGTTGTACTCAGTATTGACTACAGTGCACAACCCCACATCAGTTGGTCATCTTATTTGACTCAAACTACTTCTAATTATTTTCCTATATTCTAATCTCAGGTCTGGTCAGCAGCCATCAGATGCTGCCTGGCCTGCTGTGTTCCTCCAGCTCCACACTGTGTTATCTCAGACTCCAGCATCAGCAGTTCTTATTATCTCTACTTTTTTAAGTGTATTTTTGACTTTCTTATTTCCTTCTGTTCAGAATCAATGGGACAGCATTCACTTGATTATCCTTTTGAGTGCTCATGACCAGACAGTTCCTATTACAAACTGGGAAAGGGAAGGAATATTTATTGATTATCCCAGCACCGTAATAAGTTGCCAATTATTTTCGATCCTTGGGGAACAACTTCAATGCTTAGCTCACAGAATGTTAGGATTGAACTTTCAACTTTTATTTTTTTAAAAATTGCATGAATATACTTGACTTTGAAATCCCAACAAATAAATAAATTGTTTTCCAAAGTTTTGCTGTGAACAAGTCGTCAGAATATTTCCAAAACGTTACACATATGCTGAATAATTGGTGTCCTGTTATAATTGTTGGAATCCAGTTTTCTTTTTCTGGTTTGATACAACAGAACCACCTATGCTTCTTGCTGCAGTTTAGAAAGGAGCTGAATTCTGTCTTCATGTTCCAAATAAATTAAAGCAGGAATGCAAACCTTTTCAACCCAGAGTTTGATTAGAATGTGGAACTTGGTACCCCATGGAAAATTTAACACATATAGTATCAATGCCTTTAAGGGAATGATGAGTGGCTTTCATGGAGAAAGGAATAGAAGGATAAGCTGATAAG